TGGAAAAGCAGCAAGAACAAGAAGGCACCAGCCAAGCCTGTCCCTACACAAATTTGTTCCTATGCTGAACACTCCAGGGTTGCAAATACGGGATGTCTTACATGAGTCATTCATGGAAGGGATAAACAAACTATAGCAGATTATTTTGTGTGCAAAGAACATAGTCGTCCTGAGATGACTCACAGTGTTCTGGTATACATTTCTCAGCCTTCTCAGAAAAGATGTCGCAAGCTCCAGCATCTCTCCTAGTCATCTGATTCTTGTTTCACGGAAAGGGGAAGTCCCCACATTCTTTCAGGGAGATTTGTATTAAGTCCAACATCCAAGTTAGACATTTTCACTCAAATGGAAGTGAATTTTATTGACTTAGCAAAGTTTCATTTACACCTTTCTTTTCTACATTAGGCCATAAAAAGGAGTAAAGAATATACAATAGGTCCTCATCTGTTTCCAGATGTATCTTCTTATTTTTCTTCCCAAGCTTCTAATGAAGCAAATAGCCCATCCCCTAAAAACTAGAACCAGGTAGGTTTAGATGGGGAGCTGTTCTTGTAACCCTCTATTTATGTTTTTCAGCTTTAATTTGTAATCCCTACCTTATGAAAACACTCAATGTATGTGTTTCCTGATTAATTTTGTGCTCTTTGGTCATAAGGGTCCCTAGGACTAAACCCAATGAATAAGGTGACTACATACTTCCTAGTTGTCTTATACCCACAGTTCCCCCCTTATAAGGGGGATATTTTACTTTACTAGAGCTTTAAAACAGACCCTGTAGCTTAATGCAGTCTAGACAGTTTTTCAAATTTTTTAAATTAAAAAAAATTTTTTTAAGCAATGCCCAAGTTTGGGAAAGTAATCAAAGGAAATAATTAGGGCATCTTTTGTCCCTCATATACCTTTTCCAGACCTTAATCATTTTCAAAACTCAACTTATTATAAAACTTGTGAAGGTTTTATGAGTCGGTTGACAATTCTGTAACATTGTTGAAAGGATTATGCATTTGAATTTTAAATGTTGGACTTAAGTTGATTATTCTCTATAGAGGGACCTAAGTCTGGAAGCAAGACTTCTTCTATCTACTGCATGTCAAATGATAACTTGCGCATTTGGGAATTCTGCGATGGGGGATTTACTCTTTAAACCTTGGGAGAAAGGTGAATGTTTATCACCCTGGTATATGTATAACTAGATGTACACTTTTGTTAAAGTCTTTCAAGGAACCTTTAACATTTCTTAGGAATGTTAGAGGAATTTATCTTTGAGTCTTAGGGCCTATACACAAAATTCACTTTCCACTCATTTCAGGGAACGTAGATACCTTTTAAATTGCATAGCCTACAATGGAGACCTACCCTTGGTTATTGCAACCCAACATACACATATCTTTTCTTCAGGAAATTTATACTAAAAAAAACTTTTCTCCCTATTTTATTTCTCCCTTGCCCCTTATAACTACTTGTCCCCTAACAGTGAAAGGATATAGTCAAAGGGGACCGAATATCTTTAAAACAATTCAGATGCTGTGAAAAGTGGTACTTAAATGTCTAAAAAGAGAAGTTGTTGCTATAAAACCAAAGTGGCACCCATCACTTTAGAACCCCTCCATCTTGACCCAGCCTGCCAACAGTAGATGTTGTGTTGTGAGGTAGTTATGTCTTATATCACTTTTATGACTAAACCACACCACCACTTCCTCTCCCAAACCCTACAAAGTGCTTCGTGTCACGTCTCAAGTTTCTTTAAAATATTCTCACCTTAGAATAAAATTTGTCAATAAAATGATCTAAATAATTTCTTGTCAGAAGTAATACCCTGCAGAAAAGTATAATATCTGGCTTCAAAGATGGTCACTAAACTCTTATATGCAGGTTACTTTTTAACGAGAAATGGAGGGAAGGAGGGTAAAGCTTCAGGGAGAAGTCTTATCTCCTGTCTTCAGGGGCAAAGAGGTAACTGGGATGGGTAGGATGTGGGGGAAAGGGTGCTCGGAAAATCTGAAAAAGTAAAGAGTCATAAAACAAACAAACAAACAAAAAGTCATAAAACAAAAGTGCTTTAAAAGAAATGAAGAACTTGAGTTGGTATTCAAAAGTTAAAGGAAAGGAGGTTGAAGATAAGGGGGGACAAAATATTTAATTCTCACAAACAAAAAAGCCTATATCTTTGTCTTAAATACAAGGGGAGTCACTACAAGACTAAGTAGGGAGGCGTCCAACATTATTCTAAAGTTTAGAATATTATTGTTAAAGAAATCCATATCATTCCAATTCAGCAAACATAAGCCATGGACTGGAGCTTCAAGGTTGTCATGGGAATAAAAAGTAGAAAAAAAAATAAAGGCTCCCCAAAAGGTATAGGTGTCTAAGGCATGCAGTCAGATACACTCAAAAGGATGAAAAGCAAAGTAATTAGAGTTGGTCAGGAGACCCATCAGTAGTGGAAGGTGACTTTCTGAGACTACAGTTGAGATGAATAATCCTTTGAGGGGAAGGGAATATGAAAAGCCATAGGGTAGGAGACCATCCATTGTAGATATTTAATTATGAAAGGATTAAGAGATGGTGGTTAGAGGACTACAGGGTCATGAGAAGCATTTTCCTTATTTCTAAGATGGGATCTGAGCAATGTAAAAAGACAGTGGCCCCTTGGGGAGAAGGTGAGGATGCAGGAGGATCAATGTCAGTGTATCCCTTTGGAACATTGCTTAGCCTCACCTCCTGATGGTGTTAACATGGGTAATATCCTACTGAATTGGAATAAATTCTCTGAAATTATGAAAATGATTATTGGCTTTCTAAAACTGGAAGGGTGTGGATGTGACTAGATTTATCATGTCACCAGAAAATAAATCTTGGGGACCATTGAAACCAATCAAGTCATACAAAGTAGAGGTATTGTACTTGTTTCCTAGGACTGCATAACAAATTACCAAAAACTGGCTTAAAGCCACAGAAATTTATTCTCTCACAGTCCCAAGGCCAGAAACCCCAAATCAAGATATCAGCAGGGTTTTTCGTTCTGGAGGCTCTGAGGGAAATCCTGTCCTGTGGTTCTCTCCTAGCTTTTGGTGGACGTTGGCAATCTTTAGTGTTCCTGATTTTTAGATGCAGCAATGCACTTTCCACCTCTGTCTTCATATCACCTCCTCCTTTGTGTATCTCTATGTTTCAAATCTCCCTTTGCCTTTCTTTTATAAGGACACCTGTTATAGGATTGAGGGTTCTCCCTAGATCCAGGATGATCCCAACTCAAGATCCTTAATTACAACTGTAAATACCCTTTTTCCAAATAGGGCCACACTCAAAGGTCCAGGGGTTAGAACTGGACATACCTTTGGGGGGCCATTGTAGTAGGTATATAATATAATAGGACACCTTTATAGCTAGCATGAGCTTTCTCAGATGAGATCCATCAGTATCACCTTTGAGGAACTCTGGCTTGGGGCCAGACAACTTGGAGACCCAGGTTTCACAACTTTACAGCTGTGGAGTTTAAAACCTCGGTGCCATGGCTTTTCCTCTGGGAAAGTCACATAATACTGCATCATAATACTCATAGGATTACTGTAAATTTCTTAGAGTTAATGCAGGTAAAGGCTAATAGTGCCTGGCCCCAAAGAAGTCTGGAGTAAATAGGGCTTTGAGTTCTCTATTACGTATGATGTTCACCTGTAAAGACTTCTCTCTGGCTACCTACTAGTCAGGTGTCTATGAGCTAAATTAGCTACTAAATCTCCAAATGAAATAATTCAGATAACATTAATCATGCATATATTTATGTATTTATCTGTGTACATGTTTTTAAAGACTGTTAAGACTACAAAGGCTATTTAAAGATTCATGGGGGAGAGGTTAAGTACCGACCTTCAGGAAAACATGTTGACATTTATAAAGCAAGTAAGTGCAATTGAAGCTCACTGAGAGAAAATTTGAGACTTACTTTTTATCCTTTAAATATCTACCATGTAGTACATATTCCCATGTGGTGGACTTGGTCCTTGAATTAAAAAGCTCAAATTAATGGGTGCTATAGCACAGAATTAAGAGGGCTTTTTGGGGTGGGAGGAGTAGACCAGCCCATATGTGCTCTTAACCGGATTACAGAACCATGAATGTCTTTTCTTTGCCTTTGGTCTGCAGTCCATGGAGAAAGTTAACCTTTCTCTAGCTCTCTCAAGAGCTGTGTAGAAACTTTGACTCCTGGGAGTGGAAAGAGACTTTTAAAACATCAGTTCACTTCTGTGTGCTGACAGTGACTGCGTCTTTCTGTTTTATCTGTGATGGAGAAGCTTCATGAGAGCACAGACCACAACTGTTTTGAGGATGGTAATGCTAAATAATAGCATAAAAGCATTCACACTCAATGAATTACATGCACTATAGACATCCCATACAATCATTCTTTCTCTGATACATGTGTTAATGTCAAAAGTGGACATCTTTTAAAGTATAGTGCTTAGAAAACCCTGGAGATAATAGGCAGAATCCTAACATTTGAAAAAATACTTATCAATATGAATAAGATAAAATTCATAACTTTATCCTTGACACTGCCTTTCTAGTTAAAGGAATTTTTGAACAACCAGAACGTATGTTGCCCCGCTTCACATGCCAGTTGCAATTTTCTCAGACTCAGCCTTCTGTTTTGCTACAAAACCTTATTTTTCTATATGTGACACATTTTGATCCCTATCTTTAATAGTAGATTTTTATGTTAAAAGTCCACCACAAGCTACTTAGCTAGATAATCATTAAATGTTACCAGATACCAATTGATTAAAAAAAAAATCTGGTAAACGCCCTCTTTCCAGTTTGGAAACTACAAAGGGAACAGTCCTGCCTACTCCCCTGCTTTCAGAGTTCAGTCTAACAGAAGAGGAAGAACAAAATGAGTCTGCAGAACTACACTGGCGAATCACTAGTTGTAGGTATATTATGGGATAAAGTCTGGGTTTGCTGTGTTGTGATCTAATTACGCCTCTGAACTCTGCCTACAGGTGTCTGTGGTAGGTTATGTTCATTTGAGACTTCTCCATCGGGATCGCCTAAGTGTCACTAAGTGTCTGCTGGTACCGGAGTTGCTATAGGCCTTCTTGCCATGTCTAACGAAGTAGAAACAAGCACAACTAATGGTCAGCCTGACCAACAGGCTGCACCAAAAGCACCATCGAAGAAAGAAAAAAAGAAAGGTATGGAGAAACCCTCTTGAGGCCGAAGAAGGGAGGTAGGAGTGGTTACTTTTGAAGAAATATCAAGTTCAGGGTCAAGTAAGAGTTAGCCCTGCCCTTGCTTCAGCCTTGGCCTATCCTCAGGTCCTCCTAGATAGGAAAGTTGCATTTTGGCAGAGGACATTGGTTCACTCCATATATGTATAATAAGGATGCCTCTGAATCCTGTAATTGCAGCAATGTGGGTCCTTCCAGGAAGATTTCATAGCATCTTAATCATAAATGCAACTATCAATTATTATATGGTTATCTCTCAGGAACCTGTTGACCACTTTGTTTTACTGAAGTAGCTGGGTTTTTTTTTTTTGGAGGGGGGGAGTGTGAGGGAGGGGAACAGTGTGTTTTTCCAGGACCCATCTGCTCCAAGTCAAGTAGTTGTTTTAATCTAGTTGTGGAGGGCGCAGCTCAGTAGCCCATATGGGGATCGAACTGGCAACCTTGGTGTTATGAGCACTGCGCTCTAACCAACTGAGCTAAATGGTCCCAAAGTAGCTATTTTTAAAAAATCAAGATCTTGGCTGGCCGAGTGGCTCAGTTGGTTAAGAGCTTGCTCAAGAGTTTGAGCTCTGAGCAATAGCAGTTTGATTCCCGGCCAGAGCCGAGCAGCCGCTGAGCTGCCAACAGGTGGCAGGATGGCTCAGCTAAAAAAAAACTTCATAAAAATCGAGATCTTTATTTTGTTAGACCGTATTCTTGACCCCAATTGCCACTAGAAAGTGCCAGCGTGCTTCATCACTCATAGTTGGAGAATATTCTGTGACTTGCTTGCCTTTAACTTCTACACTTTGGGGATGAGACTGCACAAGCCTTTTAGGAGAAGCATAAGAAGTTATAAAGATGGAATAATTATCTTAATTGTTTTCAAAGAAATTTACCTGTAATTCCACTGCTTTATTGACAGTTTAAAATGTTAGCAATTGTGTGGTGCCTTATTTTTCTTTCATTAAAAGACAAAAATATTATCCTCCTTATATTCTTTTTAAAAATGGTTTTAAAACTATGATGACTATCCCATCCCCAAATCCCACTTCACGTATTTTCATAAGCTTCCCATAATTCAGTCCATTTTGAACCTTGAAGAGTTTATTTTCTCTCCATCCCAACATCATATACAGTATTTCAGAGCATGATTTGACTCAAAGGAAGTGAGAATAAGTATAGAATATTGCATATTTAATCAATTATAGTATAATCAAGATTTATACTCTGATTTGAGGATTCTGGAGCATAGTTGGTTATATCTGGTGCTGATATTTCAATATGTTTATAAACTTTATCCTATATTTCTTTCTTTTCTCAGGCTCAGAAAAGACAGATGAGTATCTTTTGGCCAGATTCAAAGGTGATGGTGTAAAATACAAGGCTAAACTAATCGGCATTGATGATGTGCCAGATGCAAGAGGGGATAAAATGAGCCAAGATTCTATGATGAAACTAAAGGTAAAAGTGAGAAAGCATGCATTGTCTGTGCCTTAAGCAAATACCCATCAGAGGGAATTAGATTGCAAGTTTGTATGTACATACAGTGGGTGTCAAAAAATTGTATACACATTTTAAAAAAGGAAAAAATCTGTATTAAAATTGTAATACTCAATATATACCGATAACAAGAGATGAATACAAGTCATGTGTATACATTTTTTGGCACCCCCAGTATATCTCAATTATTTAAAAGAAAAACTTTTCTGATCTCATCATTAATTCAGTAGCACCTCATTTTATGAGACGCCATGAGTTTGTTTGCATATTTTGAATGCTGTTCTAGAAACCTGATTTCATCAAGTATAACAGTCCTCCAGATGCCCTTCCCTGTGGGCAGGTCAAATTTTAGACTCCGGAAGTATTCAGGTAAAAGTCAGGACCCTACTTGGAAGAAACTAATTAAATAAGTAATTTTGGTTAAATAAGACATGGCCTAGAACATCTTTGAAGATCTTCTTAGTCCAGCCTTATCTTTACCAATGACTATTCTGAAGCCAAGAGAAATTAGAATGGCTTGTCCAAGTTCTCAGAGCTAGCTAGTGGTATCCTGGTTCAATATTTTCTATCCCATCCTGCTACCTCTTATGAAAGGTGCCTAATCCTTTTATAGATGGTAAACCAAGCTGAAAACAAAGCTACCTTTTAAATTTTTAGTATCAGAAGCACCATTGGGTACTTTTAACTAGTTTTTATTGTTTTGTTTTCCCAACCTCATCAGGGAATGGCGGCAGCTGGTCGATCTCAGGGACAACACAAACAAAGGATCTGGGTCAACATTTCCCTTTCTGGAATAAAGATAATTGATGAGAAAACTGGGGTAAGAATTTACTTTCACTGACACTTTTCTGACAACCTGAGTCTGACAAACAATTTGCGACTTAAATTTCAGCTCCCCTTTTTCCTTTTCAAAATTCTGTAGGAAAAAAAAAATGGTATGTATTACTTCTGCAGAAGTAATGGGAAAAAAACAGATAGAGTAGGAGGTAAGGAGTCAAGATACATTATTTTGAAATGTATTTCCTCTAATAGATGTGAACCTCAAGTCTATAAACACAGGTATGCTATAAATATCACTTGGATCCCAGGTACACAGAACTAGATTAATCCTAAACTCTGGTTTGTGATGCTATCCTAGGTCTATGCATTGGTCTTATTTTAATATATTGATTATATGTGAACTTATTGGCTAACCTAATCCTAGAATATTACCTTAACACATCTACCTTTTTTTTTCTCTTCTCTTTTCTCTTCCTCTTCCCCCCCGTCCCCACCCACACACACACACACAGATAACTTTTCTCATTTTTGTCTGTGTATGGTTGCTGTTGTTTTTCTATCATATACCAATAGTTTTGCTTGTTTGTTTGTTTTTGAGCCTTATCTAAAAGCTATCATACTTCAAGTCTTCCGGGACTATTTTTTCTCAGTTAGCCATACATATGATTCATCTATTTAAAATGTTTGTAACTCATTTTCATTGCTGTAAAATACTCTATTGTATCAAGGTACTATAGGGAGATTTCCAGTTACTATCCATCCCTTTCTAGAGACACCCATTATCTAAAATGCAAAATCCATTGGCCAATCTTAGGGCACTGAAACCCTAGTTCATGCTCACTAATGCACTGCTGTCTCCATTCCCCCTCATCTCTCAAGTCTTGTCTTCCTAAACCCATCAGAGAATGGTGGCAGGTTTCCTTCACAAGCATTCTCTCACTCCCCAACCCTTCTAATATACCCAACATAAACTTTGGTAGACTTCAGCATTTGGAAACAAAAGCCAAGACACATTCTGACCACATACAGATATCCCTAAAGAGTTCAACCCTGCTGTTGACTTGAAAGGACCAAGGGAATAGAGGGGAAGCCACTACCAATCCCCCACAACATGTAAATCCTGGATAATGACCTGAATCTCTAAGTGAGGTTGAGAAATATTGGATGACAGCATTTGGTAGCTTCCAGAATGTACTAGGGATCATTGTTCCAGCAATACTTAGGTAACTGTCCTCTGGCCACTCTGAGCCGTTGTCAAACGATCCCTGTGAACACTCCTCTAGCTTAGTTATGCTGCTCCCTTGAGTTTGTCTTTGAGTTGGAAAAATAGGCCTACTTGGAGTGGCTTCAGGGTTATATGTCCCACCTTAACTTTGGAAATTCTTGGTCTCCTACTCCTCAGTCCTTCCTTCCTTTATGGCACCACTTTTTTGGGGTACAGAGAATCAAGCATCAGTAGAGCAAGAAAGAGCATTCTTACCACTTTTGTTTTCTACTTTTTGTTCCTTTTGGAACCCTTCCTAGCAAGGATAAATATAGCTCTAGCCTTCAACCAGAGGTAAAATTGTTATTCTTCTAAATATGTTATCTTTTTTTGTACATGCCTATCTATCTGATATTTAGTTGTGCTAGACAACAAATAGATTCTAGTTTTCCCAGTAAATCATTCCTTATGTTCCTTTTTCAGGTAATAGAGCATGAGCATCCAGTAAATAAGATTTCTTTCATCGCCCGTGATGTGACAGACAACCGGGCATTCGGTTATGTGTGTGGAGCAGAAGGCCAGCATCAGTTTTTTGCCATAAAGACAGGGCAGCAGGTAAGCTATGAGCCTGGAGGTATACCTGGAGGGGCACTTGTCCTCAGTGACACGTAGGAGTGTCTGTCACTCAACTAGAGATAAATAAGTGGAGGGAGGAGGAGGACTAAACAATGATTCAAAGGATGACTATAGATCTAAGGATCTTTTTAAAATGTCACTGATTCTCACAGAGTGTGTGGCACAAGGGTTGTTAGAATGGACTTTCTGGCAAGGTTAATGCTGATTTTAGAACAATGGTGAATAGTTTCAAGAAATCCTGAAGGAACTTGAAAAATTATCATTGCGCTTCTTGCTATCTAAGTACTCACTAACCCTTCTATCTTTTATGTATCTGGGGGCCGGGATTGGAGTGGTGGTGATTCCCCATAAACCAGGGGAGGGTAACAAGTAGCTTTAAGAGAAAAGGAGAAAACTAATTAGAAGTGATAGGGGACAAAGGAAAGAAAATATTAAGATTAAAATACTAATAAAGATGCTTTCTCTTCCTTCAGGCTGAGCCATTAGTCATTGATCTTAAAGACCTTTTTCAAGTTATCTATAATATAAAGAAAAAGGAAGAAGAAAAGAAAAAGGCAAGTACTACCCAATATAGGTTCTATTAACCTTAAGACAGTACTGAGGACCATGTTTGAACATTATATAAACACATGGTCTGCCTGGAGAGTTAGCCTCTACGTGGCTTTCCCAAGTAGAGCAAGTGGAGAAATGTATTGTCTGTTCTTCTCAATTGTGCAATGGATGGATGTTATCAGTAGGCATTTCTGATTTCCAGTCCCTGACTCCTGTCTTTTCTCCCTGCAAGCTTCACATTGATTCTAAAGGCTATGCAGCACTACGAAGTTTAAGTCCAGTAACTCTATTAAAATCCAGTATTAATATGAAAAGGAGAGGGGGACTGTGGGGCAGAAATAATATGCAAGAGTCTCTCATGCTTATGCATTCTTTTACTTAACCCCCTTTAACTATAATTACTAAGATCACTGAATTGATGTCTTTCTTTTTAGATGGAAGAAGCCAACAATGCAGTAGAGGTAAAACACACCTGCTCTTCTTGTGAATTATGCATGTAGTGTGTATAAGCCCTTCTTTGCTACCTGCCCAGCATGTCCCCGTCCTCGCTTACTAGTCTGTGTTCATGACCCCTCTACTCATAGAAGATGTACAGTGACAAAATCATAACTGCTTAGCAAGACAAACAGTAGGAAATTAAATTCTATAGGGAAACTCACCAACTAAACCCTCAAATATTTGCCATCTTTTCAGAATGGAAGCGAGACCCTAATGAGTCTTGATGACCAAGCTAACAAACTGAAATTGGTATGTATGTGAGTTTTTGATTCTTCCTTACCTGAACACGGGCTTTACTTCCTATAGATGTTGCAAATACTGAATCTGTATGAAAATCCAGTTGCAACAACTATTTCCCTAAACATTACTATACCATGTATGTCAATATACAAGTAAGCTCTTTAGTGAACACATCTGAATCTAATCCAAATACTTTCTAAAGAATGTGGACCAGATGGATTTGTTTGGGTACCTGTCTACACTTCCTGACCTAAATAGCCTATTATCAAATCTGTATTAGTTAAATGAAAATCCAATTGTGACAATTATTTTCCTAAACTTTAGCTTAGGAAACAATTACGACAATATACAAAGTAGGCTTTTTTAGTAGACACATCTGAATCTAATCCAAATACTTTTTTAAGGCTGTTGACCAGATGGATTTGTTTGGGGACATGTCTACACCTCCTGACCTAAATAGTCCAACAGTAAGTGTCTGTTTTTAAATTTGCAATGTAATGGAAATGACATCTATAACTCAAATTGGCAATTAACTGGAAATCTTGAGCATCTCGTTGAAACTTGGAAGGTGACGGCTGACTTTTCTTCATAAGGTGTAAATGACTACTAAAGCAAATTTACATCTTAAGTCGCCATGGGGATCTATCATCACTAATTCAGATACATTAATATTGCTTAGAGGTTAAATCTGAGCAATAGGTCAGGCAATGTTGTCCTTCTCAATAATACTTAGGGTCAGCAGGAGGAGCTGAATAATGATTCTTGGCATAAGCCTACTTGAGGGAAATATGTGTGTTGGGTGATTAGTTGGAAAGCCTCCTGGCCACTCCATTTATTTTCTATTCTTTCTGTTGTGATTTAGCAGCATAGTCTTGGTGTGAAGTAAGACTTAAAATAAATAAGAGGCTCAGTTATGTTTAACCAAAGCCTGTTCTTGTTTAACAAAAAAAGAAAAATTCTCATTTTTCACAGGATACTATAGTGTATCAAGTCCTCTTAATAGCGATTGATCTGTAACAACTCTGTGAGAACTCAGCAACATTTCCCTTTGTAGAGAAGGAAACGATGATTCAGAAAAAACTCATTTACTCAAGAAAGACGACCAGATTCAAGGCTTAAACCCAAGTCTCAGACCTTCCAAAACAAGCCTCACGTGAAATTGCCCATGTAGTTTTGAATGGCTTGTTACGATTTCTACTATTGGTTTAATATTTTTTTTTGCGTATCTGCTACTAGCTGGGCCCAGCACTGAGTGAGACATACAATGGCAATGGCATCGTGGAGTTTACTGTCTGGCAGAGAGACCAGCGTTAAAGCTAATCACAAAGCCTATTGGTGGATATTAATTATAAGATATTGATCTAGTTTAGAGGTTCAGATAATGCCTCTGAGTGAGTGAGTTTCTAGACTGGAACATAAAAGATGAGAAGGCAATAACTAGACAAAAGGGGCATCAGTGTCGAATAATGGAGAGACTCTCTAGGAATCTCTTATATCTGAGAATTATCAAGCAAGGCTACATGACCAAGAGGTTCATAGGAACTCAAGCTGCAGAAGATGGAGGACTGGATAAGTGTCACAGGCCCCAGAGTATTGCAGAGAATGCCAGGCCTATGAAATGTTACATCAAATGGCCAGATCCAGTGACATGGAGCGGAGCAAGGGCTACACACACTCTCCTCTGCCCCCAGCCCGATGAGAGTCACAATGCATAACAGCATTTGAGAGACCCTAAAAAGCCCACAGTAGAGAAGCTGTGTAATGTTCTTTTAAGCAGTGAGCTCTAATTCACTTGTCTATAGAACCTTTCATTCTTCATGTGTGTTACCATTCTAAGGATAAGTTTTTTGAAATACTGGATGAGATAATCCTGAAAGGTCCAAGGTGCCTCCTAGGTCTGAGGTCATTTTGATTCCTAGGCAACTTTGCCCCCTCCTCTATTGGCAGCTCCCTTCCCAAAGTAAATTGAGATCGGAATGACATGCTTTCCAAATATAACCCACTCAAACAAGTATATCGAAAGAGATCAAGCGCTCTAACTATGAAGGAGAGTTCCAGTGGGATAGGCAAGTAAGCACTGACTGCTTAATCTGCTTCTGGAGACTTCTAGAACATTCTGAAAAGGGAAATGAAAAACAACATGCATAATCCAGAGTCTCATTGATATTAGTCTTCATGTATTCTAAGATGTTTTGGTTTATCAAAGTAAAATGTTGGCTTAATTAAACTAACAATAAATTAAAGGAATAAATACCATCAAAGCAAATGGTATCAGATAAGTAAAAGAATGCTAACTGCACTAATTATGTGACTTTGCCAACATGTTCTTACACATTGATTCCATATCCATAGGTCACAAAATAAATTTATCTCTACTTGATAAAACTAGCATCTTTAAAAATATTCAAATCTTAAAACAGTGGCTCTGGAAGAGATGAAGAGAGGAAAACAATCTAAATTACCTAGACTTTATTAGTCATTCCCTTCCCTATCTGCCCCTCATGTTGCAAACCAAATGGCATCCTTTAGAATATAATTTTTATTGGAAAACCACTTTTGAGATCAGATGTTCCATACTGATCTCAAAAGAAAGAAGAAAAGGGAAAAAGACATGCTCTAACTTTAAACATTTGACCATTTGAAAGCACAGTTATTATAAGAACATAAGGCTTGGTCCCGCATCAAGGAGGTTATATCTGGTACAGAGACGGGATCAGGGCACAAAGCAGTGTTGTGTATACATAAGATGCTGTGAGTGGTCATAGGTGATGCTGAAATAGAGGGATAAATGGGAAAAGGCTTTGTAAAAAATCTGAATTTGATTTGGGTCTTTAAAGTGCTTAGAAAAATAGAGAGTAGTTAGGCCAAAAACAAACTGGGTCCTATTGTGGGTCTTTTGGAAAGTCTAGCTAATTAAGCTTATTTTAATATAGGGAGTAGCAGGAAGCCACAAAAAGCTTTGAGTAGGGATGCCTGGGGTTTGGCAGGCTGAAATGGCTAAGTGAGATGATTAGCTACCTGGAGAATAGCTAGGCCATGGAACTCAGTATTTAACACTTTGCCTCTATGCAGATACCTTTGGTTGCCTTCTTGCCCCTTTTACTGGAGCCCCGTAAGAGCAGGGACTGTGTTTCACTTTTGTGTCACCAGTGCTTGTCTCTCAGGTCCTCCTGTGATGGCCGAGTGGATGCGGTATTGACTGTCCAACAAAAAATTAATGAAGCTCTGACCTAGGGGGTGGGTGATGAGTCTTGCATCTTTCAGTTGTAGTCTATGAACTAGATTCCTAATCTTGGGTTAACAACAAACCCAACCTGAGGAGAGCTGTATACATTTTACTTATAGGGTGACTATTCAGAAGTCTAACACTGTGGCTCCTGTTTGGTGTCCTCAGAACTTCTTCTGAAGTATTTGCAAAGGAGAACTCTACCAGCTGTGAATACCCAACTGTTCTCACCGGAGGTGGCTCATCATAAATGAATAAATATTGAAATCACAAGCTTTTATAATACATTTTGCCCTGCCTTTTGATTGTTAAAGATTCCTACATGAAGAGGTCTTTCAATCCATTTCTTTGATTAAAAAAATTTTGTTTTTAATTATAAGTTCTTTCTTCTGACAAGTTCTTCTCATTATAAAGAGGAAAGCTGGTTTTTAGAAATTGTTTTTGTAATTTACAGTAAAGGAAGCCAAAAGATAGAATACCAATTAGGTCTGATTCAGGGCTTAAATTTTCTAAAAATTTGTTATTTTCTCTTGAAACCATTGAGGGTTAATCAGGTCCCTTTTTTACTTTTGAGAATTTTATATTTCCTTAAGGTTGTTTTTGTCTCAATGATCAAAATATTTAGTAATCTGCTTGGGGTAATGCTAGACTTTCAACTTCCATTTCAGCTAGGTGTTTTTGTTTGTTTGCTTGTTTGTTTTTAAGATTTTATTGGGGAATTGGGGAAGGGGAACAAGTTGTTGTCAAGTGTTGTCCTTCGATCTTATTTGTGGAGTTCGCAGCAAGCTCAGCTCCAAGTCCAGTTGCCATCCAGCCGCCTATTGGCAGCTCATGGCTGCTCAGCTCAAGGTGCAGTGTTCAATCTTAGTTGCAGGTGGGCATAGCCCACCATCCCACGTGGGAGTCAAACCAGAAACCTTGTTGCTAAGATCTCTAACCACTGAGCAATCAGGCAACCCATTGGCAGCTCAGCAGCAGTTCAGCTCGGGTGCAGCTCACTGGCCATATGGAAATTGAACCGGCGACCCTGTTGCTCAGAGCTCATGTTCTTAACCAACTGAGCCACTCGGCCGGCCCTCAGCCAAGTGTTTTTTATTATTTATATTCTTCTATGCTATGGCTAGCATTGTTAAGTTTTAAATGGATCAAAGTCAATCAAGGAGAAGGTCTGGCAGTATGACAGCTCTAATCCCAGGGTGAATCCTAATTAGTTACTTCATTGACCTGAATAAAGATATGTCAGATTGATCAAATTTGCTGTTTTTATACTGAGAAGGATGTCTTATCTAACAGTTGAGAACCCAAATAATTAACATACCAGAAAATGATAGAGAACAGAATTCGTACAGTTATGTATGCATTTGGTATGTGTTTCAAATTGACTTTTAAACCCACATCTTCATCTTATACATAAATTAAAGATTAGATTATATATAAATTAAAGAGAAATGAAAGATTAGTTGAATTTATCTACTGAATAGATGAGATTATTCTCACAACACAGGCAACTTTAAGCTATTTTATTAAAAATGCACAAATAAGAGAGGTTAATGTTAGATTATATCACTGTTTTCAAAAGACATAGACAAAAGGCTGTGTCCAGAGGAGAGACTAGGATGATGAGGATAAGAGATCCACTTTAGCTAGCACCTTCAAAAAGATCCTTAAAAAATTTTAAAGTCATATCTGATAGGCTGTGACGTAGGAGGAAAATCTTTTTGCCCCCCCCCCCGGAAGAGAGCCCAATTATAGAGGAACATAGGTATTTAACCTTAAACTTCATGACAGCCAGGATTATAAAATATGAATGTATTAGCCAATAAGATTTCTCATTTAGAGAGGTGATGTTACATGACTTTGGGGGTGCAATAGAAGGGACTGCACATCAGGTAGAAAGCTGGGGTAGGCTTCTGAGCTCAAGTATACTTAGATTATCACTTGAAGTGACTCACAGCCAATTCCCTTTAAGACTTTCAAGGGCATGAATTGAAACAACAATGATGATGAATTCAACCATCCTATAAGGGTGAGCAGAGACATGAATAAACACCTGTAAGATTTCACTTAATGAGGGGTCAATGAAGTTGAGGCATAAATAAAAGGTCATGGGGTGGGGGTCAGGTGGGGAGGACCTATTGTACAACCAGTAAATGCATTCATGGAGGTGACAGGAGGAGGTGATGGTCGACCAGTTTGTCAAGACCAAAATCTCATTAGAATTTTTATAATCCTGGTCATTTTATATAGCTTTCTCATTTGAAGTCACAACATGGACTAACACTTTCTTTTTTTTTTTTTCTTTTCTTTCCAAATGTGATAGGAAAGCAAAGATATCCTGTTAGTGGATCTAAACTCTGAAATCAACGCCAATCAGAATTCTTTAAGAGAAAATTCCTTCTTAACAAACGGCATCACCTCCTCTTCTCTTCCTCGACCAAAGCCTCAGGCATCTTTCTTGCCCGAAAATGCCTTTTCTGCCAATCTCAATTTCTTTCCCACCCCTAATCCTGATCCTTTCCGTGATGATCCTTTTGCACAGCAAGACCAATCGACACATTCTTCATTTGATTCTCTCAAATCTCCAGATCAAAAGAAAGAGAATTCGAGTGGCTTGTCTACTCCTCTGAGTAATGGGCCCCTGAATGGGGACGTTGATTACTTTGGTCAGCAATTTGACCAAATCTCTAACCGGACTGGCAAACAGGAAACTCAGGCAGACCCGTGGCCCCTTTCGAGTCCGCAAACACAGCCAGCAGTGAGAACTCAGAATGGGGTATCTGAAAGAGAACAGAACGGCTTCCCTATCAAATCTTCCCCGAACCCTTTTGTGGGAAGCCCTCCCAAAGGACCGTCTGTACCGAATGGCATAAAGCAGGACTTGGAAAGCTCTGTCCAGTCCTCACCACATGACTCCATAGCCATTATCCCACCTCCACAAAGTACCAAACCAGGAAGAGGCAGAAGGACTGCTAAGGTGAATTGTCTTCTCCACATACCCAATGGCAGCATGCATGTTCGGTATCAAAGGGTGGTGTGATACAAGCTCCTTCCTGCTACTATTGTAGTTCCCTGTGTGGCTATAAAGTAGAAGGTGGGCTAAGGCACATCGTTCTCCAGGAATACCTTCCTCTCGTTGCCACCCTAGTAAAGCTTCTCACTCAGCAGTGTTTGTCACACCCTGATTTCCGTTTGCATGTCTTGTCACTTATTATTAACTAAACACATTTTTTATTTTTTTATTTTTAATGCTGCTATGCTTCTGTGCCTCTGGTAAGTTTGATGGTCACATTCTGGGAAGGGAGGGCAAGGGCTCTTGGGATCCCTTTTGTACCTTCCCACGCTAACACATGCCCCAGACACACCCCTCATATTGCATTAATGGCCAAGGTAGTGGTATAAAATTCTTGAGTTTGTCTCCTCTATTAAAAGCTGACCGCATCATCCATTGTCTTAAAAGAAACGTGTATATATATATATATATATATATATATATATATATATATATATATTTACTATTACCACTTCATTCAAAAGCAATTTAGAATGTGGTTTCTGCAAGGTGTTTTTGTTTTTTGTTTTGGTTTTTAAATTTCATTGGAATACATAGGCTGACCTAATGAATATACTACTGTATCATCTTTATGCAGGCTGACTCAAATCCACTAGAATGATGAAAAATATTTAAGCTACTTATTTATAGTTGTCCTTTCTTTACCAGCTTCAAGCTTTTAACTGAAAAGGAGACCAGACAGATACAAATATATAAACCAGTAAATTAGATTTCACTTTGAGAGTCCTCCATTGCATCAGTCACCAAGACCCCATATCCTGTCCATTGCAGAGATCCCTGTCTATTTTGTGTATTTGTTTGTTTGTTTGTTTGGTTGGTTGGTTGGATTTTTGTTGTAGTTTATCATTAATAGAAAACAGTTTTTCTTTTTGTGGTTCCCAAACTTGAGGTACAGAGTAGGAGACAGAATAAAGTTGTGTTTCTCTGTTACTGAGTAACTCTTTTATCTCCCTTTCTGCCCTGTCAGTCTGCAGCCAATGACTTGCTTACATCAGACATCTTTGCTCCTCCTGACTCAGAACCTCCAGGCCAGACATCACCTACAGGACACTCTACGACCCCACAGAGCACCCCTCTGGATCTCTTCAAAACAAGTGCTTCTGCCCCTGTGGGACCCCTTGCAGGTCTAGGTGAGTGCCTGGAGATTGAGTTAGGTTTGGCTCTGTCACTTTCACTCATAAGATGATAGTGCATAGGAGGAAGGCACTTCATATCCACAGAGGTTTCAGGGGCATAAGATTTGAGCAACCTAGGGAATCTTTCTCCCAGTTTGACTTCTGGACAGCCCCACCCCCATTTGGTACCTTTGACATGTAATTGAAATTCGGCTCCTTGAATTGGAATGTGAGAAGAAATCCATTTTCAGTATTGCACTTCCCTAAACCAATTGATAATGGCTCACTGAAGACAATTTTAAGGGCTTCTGAAGCTCAGACCAGCTTTATTGGAGGTGAGAGAGCCTTGTCTATCATCTCTATTGGAGAAGTAGCAACATGCATGTCTTCCATGTAAGTTGCCATTACCGGATCGAAGTCCTATCCCCTATTAAACAGATATCTCTTTTGGAAGGGGTTTATACCCCAAGAGGGATATAAGTTAAGTCTGAAGCAAGTGTAAGTCATGGAATAAAAGTTCTAGGTTCTGAGCCCAGCTCCGGTCCTGTGCATATGGTGGGTGTGGGACAGACATATATCATGATCAGTCTCTGCATACTTAAGCCTTAAGAGCTCCTTGCCAATATTTTGGCTAGCCAAGTGTCTTAATAAAGAGTTAGAAGATAAGTACTAGAAACCTGGAGTTGAAAAGAGCACAGAGGTAAGGGAAGAGATGGGATTTTTATCAGATACCTAGGATGTGTTGGTGCTGTCATTCATAAATGTGTCATTTGCTCATGTGAGCCTCTGAGCAACTCTGGGGCAGGACACAGGGGAAGGCCACTTTGCTGATGGGCGAGCCTGCTCCTGTTCATCCACAGCCTCCAGTTCTTTTCTCTCTCCATGGTACAGTCTTCAGAAACCCCAGCAATAGTCTTTGCTGTCCTGCTGGGGATTCTCTTTGTGTTTCTGCTTCTTGGCACTGTTATAAGCTCCAAATAGACTATCTTGGGAGGGAGTTGAGGGGGGCTCTCTTTTGCATTTTGCAAAATTTGATCAGGGATCTTGGCTTTCTCTGCCTCCTGCAGAGTCAGTCATCAGGACCCTTGGGGTTTTTTTGTTTATTTGTTTGTTTAGTTTTTCTGTCTCTGCTATTTCTCTTCAAAGGAACATATTTTGGTTCTGTCATATTAAATCTGTTTGATCATATCTAGAATATGGTGGCAAAAGGGGAGTCATTACCCAGCTGCTGAATGGCTGAAATCCATGCGATGTTGAGAAGCCAACTTGTTCCTGGTCTGTTTGCATTTATACCATCAAGAGACTCTCCCTAAGCACATCATGTCTCTTGGGAGCCATTTCTTTCTGCATGGCTCTTTCCCTGCACCCCCAAGTGGAGCTGGTTGGTGCTTTTCCTTGCAGAAGGGTAGAGAGCTTGCAGGCACTGCCTGTGACTAGATCACATCACAGAGCTTGTAGTCTAATATCATGCCCTGAAGAATTTTTGCAGCCAATATTTAACAAGTCAGCCTGAAAATACAGCTGGACCCTATAATTGTTAATTTATTCAGACGAAGTGAAGCTTTTTGGCTAGGTGCCCCTGTTGAGGCCTTGGGGTATACAACTGCAGAATACTGATGATTCTTCCAAGTTTGGACATGGTACTCAAACTGAGCTCTACAGTATAGCCCCTGTCTATACTAGCAAGGATCCTCAGCCAAACCCTGGAAGGTTGGAGGTCTGGCTTCCGCTGGACCCAGCTGGGGGACTCTCTCCTCTGGAGAACTGGGGGGTGGGGAGAGGGTATTTTAGGAAGCTGAGCCCTCAGCTTCGACTAGCTACCTTGTGTTTTAATCTAGCATTAGAAGGTGGTAAAATTGACTTTTTTACCCACACTCTTTTTTCTTACCTCTTGCTTCTACTCTCTCCAGAGGGGCCTTAAATACCTTGGAAACACAATGCATGGAATCTGCTAGATGGGAATGAAGGCTGGCACAAGTTTATACCGGGAAAGCCTTTAATTCCTGGCAAATATATTTTTCTCTTTTACTACCACTCCCACTAATACAATCTCTGATAAAGCCACACATTTTCCTAAGGGGAAGCAAGTCTTCCAAGTGAAAGATGATAAAATTATACCCAATTTGCATATCCAATTTAGTGTAAATTATTAGTGAGTTAGTCTGGATTTGAATTATAAAATTTAAGTAAATTTGTGTTAAAATGCTAGAAATTACTTCCTTCAAACTCAACTCACTTTTAGAAGCCTATATTATAGATCCTAAGAGAACTCCCCTTCAATTCATTGTGAAAGGAATATGTATATGCTTTAGTGTAGATGATGTCTAATCTCTGTATCTGTAAAACAAACATTTGAATTAACATTCCATTTTTGAAAAATAGTTCTTCCGCTTGATACCAAGGAGGCAGAACAGGAGGATAGGTGCTGGGTTAAGAGCCCATACGCCTGTGTTTTAGTCTCTACTGTTACAAACTGACTTTCCCAATTTCAGCAATTTATATTCCTGTACCCAGTTCCCTCACCTCAAAATTAAGCATCTTAATTTAGGAAGATGACCTTTTCTGAAACCCACTGCTCCCCATGAGCACACCATATGTGTCTGCGGCCAAATGAGTAGAGTTCATAATGATAGAGATGAATCAAGTAACACCCATCTCCAACATTAAGAAAATTCAAGATAGAACATCTTGCTACACCAGCCCCTGAATACTGTTTTCAGAATATTTCTCACTCTGGAAACAAAAACATCTCTAACCCAAGTTTAAAGGCCTTAGTTGGGTTCCTAATGAAAGAATGCTCTGCTCCAAAGCTCAAAGCAAGTAGATTTTGAGGGCAGAAATCATTCCTGAATTAGGTATGAGGCTGAATTTCGATTTTCTGTTAGTGATGACAGTTTAACTGGCCCATTAATACACTTGGGAAGAGGCAGGAGAGAAAGTGTCCACGTATTAGAACAAGATGTAGAGAATGAGCATCTCATGAAGAGGGGGGAAAACATTGGAGAAACCTGGAATTTAGTGGTCTCGCTAATTCCCAATCAACAATGCAAGGAGGCAGGAGACAGAGCCATTCCCCCGCAGAGATCAGATACCCAGACACCAGACACAGGCCGTTAGTTACCTGGGAAGGTGTTTTGTTTTGGGGAGGTTTTTTTTTTGCCTCACGGTGTCTTCTTTCTCTCCCTTCCAATTTTGAATACTCTGTTCTAACCTCTGGCAAAGTTTAGTGAGTGACACATGGCAGGAAGCACTTTTATTTGAAACAGCTCTCCCAGGATAACAGTCTTTCCTCCATTTTTACATATAAAATTCTAAAACTATCTTGGCACCAACCAAATTTTTTCATCCTTTTATATCGCTGCGACAACCTTGGCAGCATTTGAAAGGAAGGGAACTTTGAAATGGTTGCTTCAGGATGCAAGCATGTTGAGGCCTAAGGCACATGCGTGATAGCTGGTTTCCATCAGACCCAGACAGGAGCCAGCTGCCAAATGAAAAGATCAAATCAATGAAGCAGAGGACCTCATGGATTATCTTAATTAACTACTTGATAATCAGCATGGTTTGTATATGTAAATGTATTCATTCAACAAATAAGGCATGCTCTTCAAAGCTCTGTTCTAGCTATTTGAAATACATCAGTGTATGTAGGATAATGGCCCATTTTTTCATGACTAGGTACTTATGGACTGTATTACGCTTCTAATGAGGAAAAGGTGTGATAGAAAGGGCTTCGAAATGTCATCTGCATTTGAAATCAAGAATCCTCTTCAAGCTTGTCTCCTGATGAGTCCTTTCTCCTGCTTCCTTCAGGTGGTGTACCAGTTACGCCCCCTCAGGCAGGACCATGGAACCCAACATCGTTAGTGTTCAATCAGTCTACTCCAATGGTCCCGGGAGCCATGATGGGTGGTCAGCCTTCAGGATTCAGTCAGCCAATCGTTTTTACCCCAAGCCCAGCTGTTCCAGGTTGGAACCAGCCTTCATCCTTTGCAGCCTCAAATTCCCCTTCAGCCCCTGTTGTTTGGGGCCCCTCAGCATCTGTGTCACCCAATTCTTGGTCATCAACAAGCCCTTTGGGGAATCCTTTTCAGAGCAATATTTTTCCAGTTCCTGCTGTGTCTACCCAGCCCCCTTCTATGCTCTCCTCTCTCCTGGTCACTCCTCCTCAACCACCTCCCAGAACTGGCCCTCCAAAGGACGTCTCCACTGATGCCTTCGTTGCCTTGGACCCACTTGGGGATAAAGAAGTCAAGGAAGTGAAAGAAATGTTTAAGGATTTACAACTGCGGCAGCCACCTGTTGTGCCTGCAAGGAAGGGAGACCAGGCTTCCTCTGGGACTTCAAGTGCCTTCTCCAGTTATTTCAACAGCAAAGTTGGCATTCCTCAAGAGAATGCAGACCATGATGACTTTGATGCTAATCAGCTATTGAAAAAGATCAATGGTAAGCTACCTGCTTCTCTGTCTACTATACTAACAAGTATTTCCACTGTCATATGGGCCTAGAGTCCCTCAGAAGAACCCTGTCCCAACCATCAATAGCCTTACTCTTGCTTTTTTTTTTGTAATCAGTGGTTATGGAAACAAACCATTTACCTTAAGTAGCTATTTCTTAGCTGTTTCTAAGGGCTGGCCCAATGCTGCCCTCTCGTGACAGTTCTTAAAAGGGCTGCCAAGAGCTATCAAAATTGAATGGGTCATGGCACCTGGAGGGCTGTATAGTAAAGCCTCACCCACACTCCATGGCCTGAAGTGAGGAAATTCTGAATCTCTTCCACTTCGGGGAAATTTACATGGCTTCCTCTTCTAAGAAGGGGTGAATTTCCTGTAATAATTGGGAGTCCTAGTATTCAGTGGTGATTTTTATTCCACTGATATACATTTTAAAAGTAGGGAACTTATTTTCTAACGTAAGCCTGACTGGGGACTTCTGCCTAAATTTGGGGAAAGCTTGTCTACTGACGACTCGGGTTTTTCGCCTTCTAGAACCACCAAAGCCAGCTCCCAGACAAGGTGCCCTGCCAGTTACCAAATCTTCTGACAATGCATTTGAGAATCCTTTCTCTAAAAATTCTTTCAGCTCATCTCAAGCCTCTGTAAGTATCAACTGCGGAAAGCTATTGCTCCAAAGCATATGCCACATAGAGAGACCGCCTCCTGAATTAACCTTGCTTGTATGTATAATAATTCTTTGATGCTAAAGGACACTTGAATAAGATTTATCAGTGAGAACCATCACAGTGTGAACACGCACTCAAACTGAGGAAATATCATTTTTGCAGAGATTACTACCCCAAACTTGAGAAATCAATATCATATAGAAAAAGCCCTCTGTATCTCGTTTAACATAGCTCATGAAAGCATTTGGGGAGAAAATTAAGCTGAAATGCCATCTTAAAAAAATCTTTCAAACATTTAAGTTCCTGGTTTCCCATCCTTCTTTAGTTCATATGAATAACACTTCCCATTTTGGAGAGGCAAACATAATTTACCTGGACTTTGGTTTTGATGTAAATAATAAATATATGTCAACAGTTACAAACAGGCGAACACAAATCAGTGTAGACCTGTCTGTGACCTAAGTGATTTTTAAAGGAGTCTGAGAAGACTTAATTATAGGTTTTTTTTTCCTATAACTGTAATTATACTTATTGACAGGTTGGTTTTATCTCCCTAGATGGCTTGTCCTCCACCTGCAGCCCCTGATGTATATAGGGATCCTTTTGGAAGTCCGTTTGCCTAACTTCTGTAAGTAGCTGATCCTACTAAGCTTAGGTTTGACGAGAAAGGGTGGCACAGGGGGTGAAGGTAAAATTTTAATTTTAGAATTGGGAAGAGATTACACTCTGTAATTTAGAAGTAGTAGACATGGAAATCTATACTTGGCAATTTGATAGTGACTAATCTGAACATTTAAGAATAGAATTCTTATACATATCAAAAACAGTAATGTACCCATAGGTATATGGATTTCTATCACATCTCGTATTTTTAATATTTCAGTCCTATATGGAAAACACAATATAGCACATAACAGCTTTCCACTTTTTTTACCTTCATATTTAAGTGATTGCAAAGCATCCTAGAAATTATTTGGTTTCCTATCAGAAATCCTTCTGAAGCTACCAAACAGGTCAGCTAAACAGATGATGATCACACTTCTCCTGCCTCCCAAATCAGTATTTGTTGCTTTGGGAGGGCCTTCAAAGTTAGTCTGATGGCATTAAATCAAAAGTGACGACAGCTGCCAATATCTCCATCAATGGCAGTGTAAGTGCAGATGGGTCTGCAGATTGATTCTTCTCACGAGTGGGTTTTATACTAGGTAAGTTACTAGGTATAACCCCCTGAGATTGACACCGGGAGACGCTCAGCGAGACCCTTTCTTTCTCAAAAGTGAATGCAGGCAACTTTGTCTGGTCTTAAAAGATTGAGGTTAGTCTGCATTTTAGAAGAGGTAGGACATAGCTGGAAGGGGAGTACAACAGAAAGAGTGAAAAGAACCCAAATCCGTTATCTCAGTCTTGCCCCATCCAAGTGGACTACTAGCCTATGTCTTCATCCATCTAGAATTTAATTGTTTTAAATAGATAAGTATCTTAAATCTGACATCCACAACAACATTGAGTTTATTTGTAATTTGAACCTTTCCCTCTCAATCCATTTCTCCAGTTATGGTGTTTCTTAAATTGCTTTTCCATAAAATCTGCCTCAGAGAGCTGAACCCCAGCCCTGGAATATCCCCCTCCAGTAATGAGGAAAAAAAGCTTGATTTTAACAAGCGTCCAGGTGATTTCTAATGCTAATAACACAATGTAATATATTGAAGGGCTAGAAGTCTTAGCAGAGACTCATTCTCACCCTCCTCTCCAGGGGAGGCATTGAACAAATAGAAAGGAATAAACTGCACTAGGAGTCTGGGAGAATTGTTTGCACTAAATTGAACTGACCAGAGCTCTCTTTAGAGGCCTTTTCTTTTCTAGGTCATGAAGGAAGCATAACTTTGATCAGCCTGCTAAACTTAAAGACTGGGAAGAGAACTATCATGGTAGAAAATAGCTAACATTATTGATCACTTGTGTCACTCACTTTATTACAGGCTCTACACTTATTATCTTATTTCATCCTCTTGCATCAGTCCTAGGAGATACTATTACTAACATTTTAATAATGACTTGATACTTAATACATTGATATTCAACCCAACATTTCTAACCACAAGTTTTTTTCTTCTCCATGCTTGTCTAGGAACTTGGCACGTGGACCATCCAGAGGAATAAAAAAGGTTGACCTTAGTAGTCAAGGACAAACCTAATAGCCAGACAAGTCCTGACCCCTGCCCTTGTTCCAGCTTTGACATATTATCTGTTGCCTTATTTCTTGTTGCCTCTCTCACTTGTAAAATGCCTTTCAATTTCTGTTTAGGTTAAAGCTAAACTGAACCTATGGCTTTAAATAAATTAAGAACCTAAACTCTCTAGCTTAAATGTAAATAAAGTAGTTTCCCTACTTGAACCCTTGCCTGCTGTGTCCCTAGAACCTTCTAGAACATTCTACCATGTACCCTATGTTTGGCAGGCACAGCCACCACAACCCCTTAGATCATACTATTTTGAATAAATTTCAAAATCCTTACTGTTCATGGTTGTCTGGGGGTTCTATTTTAGAGCATAAAATCTAAAAATTAAAGTAGAACAAGGCACCTTCTTAAATCTTGCTTCAGACCATCACTTACAGAGAATTTTTAAAGTAAAATTGAAGTAAGTCCAACTTCTCCTTAGTCATTTTGGAACCTGACACACCTAAGAACCTTTTTAAAGATGTAACTTCTTTCTGAAGATCGTATTTTCTTAAGAGTGAGATTGTCCTTTCTCCAATCTCCTGCTAGCTAGTGCAAACGAGGGAAAAGCATTATCTCCTCTCCTTTTCGCTCTGATCCTCTTTTCAGTTGGTTTTGCTCCCAGGTTCTTATATCACCTCCCTTTTACAAGGAACAAAGTTTTATGGGGCAAAATATCTAATGATTCACAGATCTGGACCCTCTCCATCTTTTCAGTAATCGTTAATCCCAGCAACTAGAATTGCAAATGGGCACAACCTTTATCCTTTCTGTGGACTAGGAGGCCATCCTCCTGAAGTTCCAGAAGAGCAGTTAATGTTGAAGAAAAACTGAACTCAACTCAGCAGTGAACTCAACTCAGACTGTATTCTGAAGAGCAATACATTACAAAGTTAAATGTGATTGTGCCAAACACATTAGGTGCTTATTTGGGGTCATACTAGACCTTTATCAAGTAACTGGAAATTTTTCTTGAAGCCACAATCTCATAGTTAGTCGGGAGATAAATAGGAGGAAAAAAAAAAAGCTATAGAACAATTATTTGCTCTTATCATTGAAAATCTAATGTTTGCATTATTTTTCTCTTTGTAACCTTGGAAAGTTTCCCAGTTTATTTTTAGTCCTGTTGTTAGCACAGTTCTGAAGGATTTGTTCTTGCCAAAATGAGTTTTGTTTGTTTATGTTGGGTTTTCAATGTTGTCTCTTGACCCCCGAATGCTCAGGTTCTTGTGGGTGTTAATCGACCACATATAATGTAACCTTTAGGTAGAAGAAGAAGATGACTGCTCAGGATCTAAACAAGATGGTAGCCTCATGAACTTCTATTGATTAGCCCCAAGTAGTCCAAGCTGAAGTCCTGTGGTTTTATGTTTAATGGTAATAGCTGATCATGTTTGGCATAATTTTCCATCTGGCTTCCTACTCAGTCATTATAAACACAGACTTGAATTTTATTTTATATGTCCAAATACCTAAATGTGCTAAACTGGAGGCAATTATTTCTAGGTAGTTGAACTTTTGAAACTAGAAACATTTTTGAAGTGATGATCAGCCACACAATTGTTTTATACATACTTGTTTTCTTGTGCACTTTTCTGTATGCAAATAAAGCTATAAATTTACTCATTTCAATAAACTGGAATGGCAGAATCTCATGTGTAACCATCAGTTTATTCTAATATTGCTTTGTGTTGATGTGCTAGGGTCAACTTAGAAAATATACCTATCTTAGGGGCCGGCTGAGTGGCTCAGTTGATTAAGAGCTTGCTCAAGAGTTTGAGCTCTGAGCAACAGCGGTTCGAGTCCCAGCCCGAGCTGAGCAGCCACTGAGCTGCCAACAGGTGGCAGGATGGCTCAGCTAAAAAATAAAAATAAAGTATACCTGTCTAAGGTGAGTAAAAGTTATAATACACTCTGGATTGTCACAAAGATAAAATCCATGAAATAGGAGCATGAGTAAATTATTGTCTGACACCTTTCAATGCCTTACTCTTTTCTCTCAGATCTACACATACTCCTTTCCTGGGAGTTTTAATGGGAGTCCAGTGGATAAGGCCTGTATCAGAACAACCTCAAATGACGTCAAGTACAAAAAACACTCAATAGTGAACTCTTGACTCACACGTTTTACCCTTTGCCTTCTCTTGTTCTTGTTTGACCTCACTAAAGACACAACTGTGAACTGGTCCAGTCTGGCCCAAGCTATTCAGGAAAGCTTCTGTATGAGGTTGGCAGGCTCATGATCAGACATCTTTAACACTACGAGTCTCTTAAACGCTCTCTCCTAGTATAGAAGTTCAAGGCTCTCATTCTTTCCGAGAAGACCTAGATCCGTAAGGAAGATGACCCCAAGATAGGCCTTGTTTGGGTATAGAAGTCTTGGTGTTAAATTTGACTTCCCTAGGAATAAGACAAAGTTGATGTGTGGAGAATGTCATTTACCATTATAGGATGTTCGGTATTATTGCCTTACCTTTCCCTTTAACTGAAACATTTAGTTTCTGACAACAATGAGTAGAATATAGAGAAACAGACTCCACACAAAAGCAGCTTCCAGAAAGCCACAGATGGAGAAGGCTGCTGATAAGAACATGTTGCACAAATTATCTGGCTTATCCAGATGCTCTGCGGTGTATCTAACCCACTGAGCCCGTGTGCTGTTTCCATATGGTTTAATCTGTAAGATCTTGCCAGAGGCTAACCCTTGCTCATGTCTATAAGGGGAGGACATTCACTTCAGTGCAGTAGGAACTACTGTTGATCAAGCAGAGGAAGGTGCATCCTGAAGTGTCCCAGCAAAGTGGAAACAGACCTCTTCTTCATCGTCTCTTGAGTAACAGGTGCTACTCACACCTGTATGCCAGAAGTTTAGCTTTTATGATAACCCTACTCTACATGGAAGAGGGCTTCATTTAGGTATCAGATCTAAGCTAAAAGCTGAGTTTTAACAGCCGGCATGCCCCCCAAATTTCTCACATAAAGGCAATTACAAAGAGAAAGTATTGATTTTCTCAAGATAATTTTGCATTTGGAAAATGATTTACCATTTACGCAACATAACTTCATTCTATTGATACCGTAACCCTGTGAGGTAGGATCTGTTCTGTTTCATCTTATCTGAGAATGGCATTCATGTTTTAAAATGGCTGCAATCTACTCCAATTCTTAAGTGAGTGGTTTCCGTGGTATTTTATTGTAAAACTGTCCGTTGTAGTAGGGAGATCTTTTCAATCTGATTTTAAACTCCTTCATCAAAGCATTAACTGGTGTCTAGAGACAGCTAAACAGAGCACAATTCTGTGTCTTTCCTGTGCTAAAAGCAGGGAGGGGAAAGGACATAGCTAACTCAGGAGTTTGACCCTGCAGTAAGCTGATGTGAGGACTCTGACCCATATTCCCAGAACAGGTTCCCTACTAAAAGATAGCAGTTCCCCAAAAGTCCCTGGCAAATATTTAAGCTATCGTTGAAAGGGATTGCTAAATAATAAAATGCACAATCCCTGCTGGGAAATGTTTTAACTAACTCCTATTAAAAGTAGCCAAGACTCATGTCCTGAGTTGATATGCCAAACATGGACACACACAAGGCTGTGCACCAGCAGCGGCTCTGTTAACATGTCCTAATTACAGCAATGCTGATGGACAAGGGCCAGCCACGTGTCATCTCACCCAGTGAGGGACCGAGCCACTCATTGCCCTTGCCCCTCAGGAATTGTGTACTTAATTACTAAGCCTCTACAGTGTGCCGACATCATAAAAGTGCCTGTCTTCAGGGAGAGGACACTATAGGCTACTCAGTGGCAAAGAAACCGGGTTTCTGCAGCGATGAAAGATGAGGTGGTTGTAAAGGAAAAAAAAAAAAAAAAGGAAAGACCCTGACTCTGAAAGTTTTCATGACAAGTTTTTTTCATGATATTAGTTATGAAGTTTTCTGTCAATTCTCTTTTCATTTGGCTGACTTCAATCACTATGACCTTGCCTTAACTGTAAGAAAGGGAAAGTGTTGCCATTCTGAAAGAGACATGGTGACCTGACTGGGCTGAGGCTGAGTTGCAGATGGTTCTGGGGTGATTCTGAGGCTGCCTCCACCCGGCACCTCCTTACACTGGGATGTAAGGAGCAGAATGTTGGAACATAAGAGCTAATGGAGATGGAGAGGAGGGGAGTGGAAGAGTTGCTGTGCCATTCGCCTCCCTGCCTCTTTCACCGAGAAACTGGTTTAGAGCCTCGATGGTGGAAATCATGGGACTAGAGGCAGCAGGAGTTGCTTTCTTTGGATGAAGGACCCTGGGCACAGGCCGGCAGTTCATAGCCCTCATGTCCATTACTAACACATGAACTGCAGTAATGGCAAGGCTCACAGTGGGTAAAATTAGTAGGGGGGTATTTCTCTCACATAAAAAACCTATATTCATGGCTGCTAGTGTTGGCTCACCAGCTCAAAAAGGCCCTCAAGGACATAGACTCTTTCCTAGCTTTTCCAACTTTTGGAATGTCTTGGGTATAATCAATAATGTGGCAATAACTCTGTATAGTGCTAGGTGGGTATTGTTGAATAACTATGATGTACTCCTGAAGCTAATATAATATTGCATGTTAGCTGTATTTTAATAATTATTAAAAAAAATAAAAGATAGGGCCGGCCGAGTGGCGCGATGGTTAAGAGCTGGCTTGGGACGCCAGAGGGCCCCGGTTCGGATCTCATATATGAGGGCCAGTGACACTGCCCTCCACAGCTAAGATGCTGAACAACAGCTCAACCTGGAGATGGGTTGCCATGAGTCGCTGGCGACGGCGTAGGCTGCAGCCCCGGTGGCAGTGGGTTGCCATGGGCTACCGTGTGTAGCCAGCAGCCAGCGTGAGCGGCCAGCAGCCGCAGTGAGCGCCGTTCGGAAGCTGGCGACTGATCTGCCTCGCCCGGGAAGAGCGCAATGATGGTGCCAATTTAGGCCAGTGAAGCAACGTCCTCCACAACTAGACTGAGAAGAACAAAACGACAGCAACTTGTCTGTTCCCCTTCCCCCAATTCCCCAGCACTGTTCCCTTCCCCCCAATACCCCAATAAAAAAATCTTTAAAAAAATAAATAAATAAATAAATAAAAGATAAAGGCATCACTACTGATCAGTTTTTTAAACCCTGAAGAACTAAGGAGGAGAAAATTTTAAAATCCTGGGTAAAATCAACTGTGTCATCAATACATAGTTTGATCAAGTTCCTTAAGAGCATGATACTATTGGATGTCAGATTTGGATGAAACATTATAGCAATATTCCTGTTATGAAATGGGCTTGTATGGACAGCCTTTCTCATTGACCATAGAACACACATCTAACTTGGCTGTAAGCACATGAAGGATGGTTTGCTATTTATAATGTAGAAGAAACTGGGAGAATATTACTCACAACCCATCTTTCATTGTGAGCCATTCTGAAGCTTGCATTAAAAACATTAAAACATGCTGATGGGCGAAAACTGAATTAGGATGGACTAACTGTGAGGTACATCAGTGTGTTGCATTTATAACAACTAGAAAAATTCAGACTTCAAAGTGATACTGCATCCATCCTGAAAATGAGATCTGGAAAGGCTAAAGGGGAATTAACTTGCCTAATTAAAAGTGAATGAAAACATATTTTTCATTCATTTTTGTGACAAGTGTGTTGATTACAGAAAGTATAAGAAAAGTACTTGAAAGGAATAAAATCTTAATGAATGGAGGATATGTCACCATAATGGACATGGTACCAGTTTGGGGAGGCAATGGAGTGCCTAAGTGGTTAATTTGAGGTGAAGTGCAAAGACACGGGAGCCTGGGTTGGGATTTTGCTTTAGCCACTTACTAGCTATATGACTTTGGGCAATTCTTGAGTTTTTTGTGTCTCAGTGTGCTCTTCTATAAAATGGTGGTGGTAGTCGCAGCCCACCTCATAGAGTTGATATGAAAATCAAATTGTTTATTGTAATAGATTCAGAATAGTGTTTGTAGGTGGTAAATGTTTGGTATGTGTTTGCTATTATTATTCAATGACTTCTGTGAACCCTCCCTGAACCCACTATTGTTTTTCAAATCTGACAGTGTTATGCTTGCCATGAAGTAGAGTGGAGAATTACAAAGCACCTTAGGAAATAAGAGCTCAAGAGTTTTCTAGCCCTCCCCTCAATATCCTTCCTGAAATGGCACATCCCTTTGAGTTCAAATGAGGTTTTGTCAACATTGAAGCCTACTGTTCAGTGGCTTTTAGTTCCCTGCCTCTGTCCGATTTATATTGTCTCTGGTAATCCTCGTGGTACTAGCACCCAGCAACTAGTCCTCTGAGTTCTTTAGCTTCCACTTTCTAGTCAAGGTACTTCACCATGGGCTTTGCTGACTATGCTCTCCAAGTCTGTGCTTCTCTTCTGCCCTGAGGGTACTGTGAAGTCAAAGACTGCTGTGATCTGCATTTGGTAGCGGGCCAATTTGAGTTAAACTACCACCTGGGCCTGTAGGAGTCACACTGACTAACTCCTTACCCATTTCCAAGGCCCTCTGGCCAGGGCTGGCTTCATGGGTGTGAAACCTGCACAGCGCACAGGGCTCAGCACTCAGAAAGATCCCCATCCTTGGTTTGATGCTCTATTATTGCCGTCTTGAAATTCTTAATTTTATGT